GGCATATTTGAGCCATTAAATTTCACGCATCAATCGAAATCCAATGAGATCCCCTTCAAATGGGTACCAATATAACGTTAGGAGCAACAGGGGATGGAATCAGATTTAATTCATATCCATACACAAAAAAATGTGGTAACTACACGCTAAGAGTATGCTTAATGTGTATCGCCCAATAAAAGTATGTTTTCTTTGAATAATGTAAAATATCATTAAGACAAACGTCGTTTTATTATTATTATACATTTCATAAACTACAGGAAGGTCTTGACAAAGGGGATAAACGGCGTCATAAATTGGCCCGATTTTTTAACTTATTGGACGCTGACAATGACGGTTTTGTGGACAAACATGACTATGTCAGCAGGGCTGTTGAAAGAGCCAAGGTATATTTTGGGGCGGATAAGATCAACGCTTTCAATAAAACTGTCTCCAAGGGTTGGTCTTCCTTTTGGTCCATACCAGGTAATAATAATGGTACATGTAGTAGTAATAATAATAATAATAATAATAATAATAAATTGCTTAAAAACGGCGCTACACTTACGTCTCAGCGCTGTTTACACTTACATATAAAAACTAAAACTACAAAGATTAATTAAAAACTAAAATTAAAAACATAAATTACCCTAATGACTTTGATACAAAAACTTGGCGGACATCAGATGACGGCATGTTACAGTATATAGCATAAGCTTAAATGCAAAACTAAAACAATGTAAAGGATTCGTTGTAATATCATAATTTTAGTTTATTTATTATATTATATAACAATACTAGAAGAATTACAGGACCAAAGCTGTTTTTCAGATATGCTCTTCGATCTAAATCATGAAACAATCGCAGTTGGATATTTGAAAATGCCTATGTATGTTTATGATTCAAAATGAATGCAAATAGCTCCTTGCTGTTACAAAAAAGGAAATGTTTAAGCAAAAGATGGTATGTGGGAACTCATGCACAAAGAATGGCGTGCACAATTTAAAAACACGGTACAGCCTGGCGGTTGTAATAAATCGGGCAGACATGAGTCATAGAACCAGAGATGTTGCATTTTCAGAAAAAAAAAACATTTTTAAATTAAACCTATACATTAAATATTTTAAAATGAAACCCATTCTCCAAGGGAAATTGCAGGGATGGAAATTAGCAGAAGTTCCCTAATCAGGATTGACTATTGAAAACACTTACGTGAAGACGTATAGCCATATTTCCATCAATTCTGACCATCGACGTCATTTTTGACAGTCAAACAAAGATTGAAAAATAAACAGATAAAGAACAGAAATGTGAAAGACTTCAAGCAACAACGGATTTATCACACATTGAAACGTTTTCTATAAGTGTAGTGTATGTTTCAGTTTTCCATGTTTTACTTCTCATTTTCACCTTATTTTTGATATCCAGGCACTTTCAGTTCTTCACTTATTATGTCATTCATCTTTTACATCCTTATCGTCCTGAGATTTATGAAATGGGTCATAAAACGTTTTGCTTTAAATACTATATAGCATACAGTGCAAATATCATAATGACGGAAGATACGCCAAAATGATACCACATGGAAAACTGTTTACCACAGGCTGGTTTTAGAAATTGTCCAATTAATTGTTGTGTAAAACTTGCATTGATATGTTTTTAATTCAAAGCAGTACCTTGATTAACTTGTGAGCCTTAGATGATGCGACAAGAACGATTTAACTTTTTACTTTCCAAGCTGCAGAAGGAAATATTTGTACTGAATAAACGCCGGCTTCTTTTTATTGAAAAAACACCGAGATTTATTGGAATTGCTGATGTTCATTCTTTGCCTGAAAGGTTAAAAGATGTCTTATTCCAAGACAAATGACAAACGCCTTTCCGACAACGTGCCAAACGAACAACTGATCTTCGGGGAGACTTCGGAAAAAGAACATAAACGAACACGTATGAACGCCAACACAATTAACAGTTCATCACTAAAGCATTTCGCCTGGCACGCCATGAACAACCATCAACAACAACCAAACCAGACGTGGAAGTAGAAATATCATTCGTGTGTGCCAAACGAGTCAACTGTCAATAGATCTGCGTTCTGTGCATTTCTGTAATGTCTCAATCCAGTAAATTGTTTAAATATGGAGTTGTTTTCGTCTATTCTAGAGGCATCTTGACTCCAATCGTCATTGAATACATAGTTAAAAGTAGCAACTCAAGGTGCTTAGCTCCTTTACAGCACTCTATACGGCAGCTGCACTGTATCCTCCCATGAAGGTGAAAATACCGACACTCAGTCTGTATTAGGGCCAGATGTCTCATGCTAACAGCACTGAGACGCACGTTGAATACGCAGTATTCAAATACAAAATAATAAACTTTACTTTTTATGTTTTAAACATTCACAATTAATGCCTTAATCTGCTTCTTGTTTTCATTCTGATGTTAATAATGTGTCGGAACATAAAGTCAAGAAAATATCAATATAAACATCTAAGTCGCAACAGAAGGTTTTGATACATATTTTGACAACAATTGCTCATACATATAGGCTAGTCATAAACAATACATTTTATACAAATTGGAAAGATCTAAATGCCATTTGTAACGTGTCTAGGCTTTTCATCAACAGTGAAGGGGGGGGTTCAATTAGGAATAGAGATAGGGTTATTCACAAATAAAATATTTTATTCTATTACATATATTAATTAATGAAATGTTGAAAAATTCATTGCAACTGGGGCCATTCACAATAGAAGATCCGAGTATCAACTGGTCCAAGGATCAAATATGGCGGACCCTACATAGAAGAAGACTGCTTAATCCTGTAATATTATCTCCGCCTCTCACACGTCTGCTCTGGTCGAAGGAGCCGTGATTTAATTACTGTGCCCGTGGGGAGTCGTGTGAGAGGGGGAGAGACCATTACAGGATTAAGCGGTCTTCCTTTCGGTCCGCCATATTTGAACCTTGGACCAGTTGATACTCGGATCTTCTATTCCGAAAGGCCCCATCAACGTGTCACAGCCTTTCCACCAGTGAGAGTGTTATTGCATGAACACGAAGTGCTATTATTGACCCAAAGTAAACTTACTCACCTTTGATGCACTGCTTCCGTCAATTTACATTTTTGCGCCGATTGGATGTAATAAATTCAGGCTAAACACAATAACCGTACTATACATTCAATCGCACATTGCAACTAATGAATACAAGACAGATCTACGACTGATTAAGTTACTTCATACCTGTACAAAGATGCTCCTATTTCTTATTGTTGGTCAAGTTTGGTAAGTCTATAATCTGTGGTCAATTGTCAATTCATCTCGTTAAAAAATCTTAGGGCTAAAAGTTTTTTATTGCACATGGGTACGAAAATAAACAGTAAAAGAATGCCCACAAAAAGGCCAGCATCAACATGTTACATGGGTTGTTAAATATTGTGACAACATGATCTATATCTGCTTAGCATTCAGTGCATTTGCAGAATCGAGGGCCAGCATCAACATGTTATGTGTTGTTAAATATTATTAACACATAGTCTACATCTATTTAGCATTCTCTGTATTATAATTTCCACAACCAAAGGCCAGGATCAACATGTTATGTGGGTTTTTAAATGCATGGAATCATTGGTCACAGTTCATTTTTTTAAATATAAGACTATGGGAAGCCAGTATGTAAGTGCTACCTAGGCCATTCATTCACCCAAATCCAATATAACAATTGAGGTCACAGGCATTTTATTAAAAAATATATTCAGTGCACAAATTGCAAACTACGTTGATTATTTTAGGGTTCCACATGAAGAAGTTTGTATGAAAGTTTCACTCTCGTGGAACCATGAATAATAAAAAAATAACAATTCATCGTCTAGCCCTGAAGAGAAAGATACGTTACATTCACAAATGCAAAAAGTCCAGTTGTGGAATCTTCTACTCACTTTGAAAATTCTATCATAACTGATTCTGATGTTTGATTTATCTCATACGAGTAAGACGTTGTAAAAAATTATGATAATCTTTTGTATAGAGCAGTAAATTGTTTTTAAGCGACTTAAGTTTGCTTGTTACCGAATATTAAAATAGAACAGGGAAAATACACCTACCAATAGTAAAAAAAAGCATTAAATAAATCCTTTTTCAAATCATGATCCAAATATTACATCAGAAATGTCAAACTATCATGGAATCACAATATGTTTTTGGTCAGCAATTGAAAACACTGTTTTCTATTGCATCAAGTACTTGAACAAAACAGTGGCGGAATTAGCGGGGGGCCAGGGGGGGGCCTGAACCCCCTTTCGACTTGTGGTCCCCTTTTGAACTTTGAATTTTGACTAGTTGAATCACAGTTCTAAACCCTGCCAAATGGCACCGTTCGCTCTCTCAAATACCAAATATTTTCGGGGCATTTTAGTGGGCCCCGAAACCCACGCCAAGTGGTGGGGAGGGGAGGGTTGGTATCCGCGGACTCCCCCCCCCCTTTGAATTATCCTTGAACCGCCCCTGGAAAATGAAACTTTCTGACAATTCTGGGGAATGTACGTTACTTAGTATTAGCAATGTCGCAAAGCCCCTTGAGTTACAGTTTAAATATTTATAAAATCATCCTGACGTCATGTATAATTTACCATGATTGAATCACTAAAAAAATTAATCGGAATGCGCCATAAAAATAAAAATTAAATTACCCAGAACATTCTTTACCATACGTTTCCGGAACATACGTTACCATTTAGGGCTCTTTGCGCAATGTAAAGACATTGAAAAAATTAAAAATTTGAATTTAAATTGAGACAGTCATGTATTTTTGTTCTATACACAAATTTGTTTTAAAAATTGAAAACAACTTTGAATTCATTCAATTTTATTTTTTGGTTCTTAAGCATGTGAAATGCACTTCTATATTGGGTTTGGGTGTCATTGCGTTCTAAAGTCGATGTATTTCTTTTTTACCTAATATCACTATGGCAGTGAAAACGTCCCAAAAAGAGAAACCAAGTGTTTCATTAATTTAATATAATGGGTAGGTATCTAATTTTTAGATACCACTATGTGTCAATATGGAAAAATAAGTTGTCACCCGGAAGGAAGGTTGTCCAATAATACTGAGAGCACGAATATCTACTATTGTATCTGTTCTTGGCCCGCCCCCATTAACTACGTGTTCAAAGTCCATTCGATACCATGAACCCCTTACTATACGCCAAAAACTATTTAAATACATTCCTGTGCCGATACGCAACACTTACGCACAGAACGCTGACCTATTGACAACTAACTTGTTCACTATACAAGCAACATGTTTCTTTCAGGTTTGCTCTGGTTCTTGCTGTTGGTGGCTCTGAATGATGTGATGGGAACGTCATGTGGTGGACCCCAGAATGGTCAAAAGGTAAGATTTTTTTTCTTAGTTAATGTAGCATTTTAAAATGATGCAGGGGTGCTCCTACACATCTATTCTATCTTTTACATTGCATACTACATGAGTGCATTAATGATTCACAAACGGCTGTTTCACAATCAGGGGTACAAAATTGGGGCCACATTGAAAGAAAAATCAACTGTGATGCATGTATTTTATTTTGTAAAGGTAAAAAGAATAACATCTTAACTGTGACATCCAAAAATTTTAGAGCACAATATCAATAGTTAATGTGTTACATAATGGTACGGACACTACAGTAGGGGTACGGACACTAGATTTGACACACAATTCTTGCATATCTTTTCATAATAAAGGGTTATGTACTATTTTCTTCCTGCAAAACGAAAAATGTCAGTGTGGACATACATTAATAATATAATCAGACAGCATATGCTGTGATTCCTAAATAAAACAGATGGGGGGGGGGGGGGTACGGACACTTCAGAAATTAGGAGACACCAAGGGGCTCATGATTATAAATACCACAGCACTGTTAATAATGGTTACATATGCACAACTCCTTTGTTATGTTTAAGTCATAACATGGTATATTAATATTATTATCACGTAGGTGATTTCAAAGTAATGTTTAGCCTGATCAAATATGTTTTTCATTGCATTTACAAAGTTAAATAAAATATGTATCAAAGCCTGTTTCAGCAAAATGGTTAAAATATTTTTTTAGAATATATCTTTGGAAGAAGCTGTTCAAAGAGAAGACATATGTTGTGGGAATTATAGACCAATGTTATATTCACCATAAATCATTGACACAAAGAGCTAGTGCATCATATTTATGACCTTACTTGCAAATGACCCATTGTAACAGCTAAAAATACATACTTGTTGAACACATGATTGGCTATTTTTGTAAATTGTAGTCCGATTACCATATTTATTATTTTTTTTTATTATTATTATTTTTTTTTTTATTTTTTTTGTTCCTAGGAACAGTGTATTTGATATCAGTCTATCAGCAATCTCCAGTCATAAATTGTTAATTTATCAAACACTTGTAACATTAGCCACATTTAATTGTTGATTGTGAAACAGCCGAAACAAAATGCATAAGTTGGTTAATATATGGACAATCTTGGCTGCTTTATTTGGCAAACCGAATTTAGAATTATTACGAAATTTACAATATTTAACTAACTAGCCAGAAAAAGTAACGTTGACTGCCAAGACCACTAAAATATGACTTGACCAAATAGTTTAATAATAAGCAACAAATAAAAGAATTTTGAGCATCCTGGAGAATAAGCTCATCGTGCTGTTGTTGGCCATATTTGTGCCATTAAATTTCACGCATCAATTGAAGTCAAATGTCAAGAGATCCCCTTCAAATGGGTACCAATATATCGTTAATAGCAACAGGGAGTGGAATCAGTGCCTTAAGCCTCGGTCACAACCGGCCGTACGGGCTCTTACGAGCTGTTTGCGTACAAATTTTGCGCAGAATCTCACGTCCCACGCAAGTCCTTCTTACTCAATTTCGAGTTCGCAGACAGCCCGCAAGCACGTACGGAGGATGTTGGACATGTCCAAAACATTCTACGAATAGCCTGCGAACAGCGAGGCCACAAGCGTAACTTGCTCCCCTCGCCCAGAGTTAGCAAAAGAGACGCGCGTTGTGCAAGACGCACGTCTTGCAAGCAATGAAGGTGCATGTGCCCTTTGCGTGTTGAGTAAGGCGCACGCCTTCACAACTAACGAACAATGTCGAGAGCACACTGGGAATGCATTGCACGTGCGTCACCCCTACGCCTGGTGTACGCTCGTATCTTTACAATAAACGTCGACTGTGTAACGTGTACAACAATTTTCAAAATTTTTCAAATTTTTGCCTAATTTAGTTTCTAATATGCCTCCAAATGGCAAGAGAAAGAAGCTCAAATAGTTGAAAAAAGGGAGAAGGAAGAAGAAAGAAGAGGAGAAAAGGAAGCAAAACTGATGTACACCGTCAGTACGTCACCACAAACGTGTGAGGCAAGTGTGAAGCAAAACTGACGCAAAGGGCACCACTTTCGCCGTGCGATGCATTCCCTTCGTAAGTGGTGAGTGTGTGTCTCGTACACAGGAAGCAAGACAAACTCAAGTATGAGCGTCCCTTGCAATTAGCGTCGCTGCTTCAAAGGACATCTTGCGACTCGTAAGGCAGACTTTCCTCTTCCTCTACGACCTCCACGGCCTCCGCAACACCCAAAAATCGCAGGGGACGTACGATCCTGAAATTCGTGCGTTCGGCTGTGATCGAGGCTTTAATTCATATCCATACTCAGCAATATATGGTAAATGCACTTCTTAGGTTATGCTATAGGTGTATTTTCACAATTTTTCTTCTATGAATAATCTAAAATTTCATTAAGACAAACATCGTTTAATTATTATGATACATTTCATTAACTACAGGAAGGTCTGTACAAAGGGGATAAACGGCGTCATAAATTGGCCCGCTTCTTTAAAATATTGGACGCTGACAATGACGGCTTCGTGGACAAACATGATTATGTCAGCAGGTCTGTAGAAAGGGCCAGAGTGTATTTTGGGGCGGATAAGATCAACGCTTTCAATGAGACTCTCTCCAAAGCGTGGTCTTCCTTTTGGTCCGTCCCAGAAGACGACTTTCTGGAAAGATTGGACGTGACTGACTTCATTTTGAGCGACGTAGCACTATATAATTCCAACAGATATCAGCCGATGGTCAAACTTTGGGCAAAAGACGTATTTCGAGCAGCAGATGAAAACGATGATGAAGAGTTGAACGTCTTCGAGCACAAAGCCTTCCTTCAAGTATTCAATGTTCACCAAGGCTTCAATGATTCATTCAGTTATGACGACGAGAATCATAGTGGTAGCATCGACAAAAACGAGTTCGTCACAGCCGTTCTCGATTTTTTCTGCAACGGGTATGACGATTCTTTGTTTTTTGGTGAATAACCTTAACAAACACAATCTTGTTCATATGTTATTATGAAATTAATGATTATTACATTTGCAATATTCAGTCAATAGTACGAGATTTGCATATCGCGACCTACTATGAAAAATATATATACAGAAGCCGGATTCATTTTCGTTTGTTATTAAAATGCAAGCATTTGTCTTTTTTATGGTGGGGGATTCAAAAGCTTACACAGGGTTTGGATGAGATACATTTGTGAAAGGCATTCCACAAGCAAAAACAAACAATTGTACTTCTCGTAAAGCATACAAAATACCACTGTCAATTCCCTCCACACGTAACATTTTCAACATAATCTTCACTCCATTTGCTAAAGTTGATTTCAGGGATACTACAGGTTTCTTCGTGACTTTGCACTTGTTAGCAGTTCCCCTCCGGTGAGTGCTGTTGTTGCAGAAATGTTCCGAAGATGGGGCAACCCTAGTATTATCCCTACTGAGAACACGTGACATGATTCGGAGTGTGTAATGTAGCGGAGAATGAATCCACTTATAATAATAATAATAATAATAATAATAATATATTTCTTAAAACCGCGCTGTTTTCACTTACATGCAAAAACTACAAAAAGTAATTAAAAAATACCATAAAGGTATTTAAAACTAAGAGATAAAAGTTAACTAAAATATTCATTAAATTATTTTTTAAAATTCTTTTTAAAACAGTAATCAGAGTCGTTTAAAGACACATTTGTCACATTACATTGGTGCAGCAATCTCAAAACTCCTGTGACCATATGTTTTTAGAGTATTTTTGGTATCTTTTCGCTCGAGTTGAAATTGGTCACTGGAACGAATTAAGGCTTCTAAGAGAAGTTAAAAGCTCTTTTATATTGTTCACATTAAATGTACAGTCGCCCTTCAAAGATTTTTAAGTCAAAAGGAAAATCTTACAAACTATTCTTTGAGAAACTGGTAACCAATGACGATCGCGGAGAACTAGTGTGATGTTGACGGACTTCTGAGTTTTTCGAAGGAGACGAGCTGCCGAATTCTGAATAGACTGAATTTTTTCCATTTGATAGTTAGGTATTCCGAACAAAAGGCTGTTGCAATAAGTCTAGAAGTCACAAATGCATTGATGATTAGCTCTGTTTGGTTGCTTTCAATAAGGTGATGAATCTTAGATATTCGTTGAAGACTAAACATATGATGATTTACTCCCTTTGTTTTCATGTCACATTTGTTGTTGAAAATAACACCCAGGTCTTTAACTTCTGTGCTTGCATGTTGTGATAACAGAATCTCCAACTCTGATATTGTCTATTATGGCGCTGGCAAACTTAAGAGTTGAAATGGACCAACTCCGTTAATTTCTTTAGTCAGTAAACATCTTGAGCACAATGTTCCAACAAAAACCACTGTGATATCTCAATCGTAAGTCCTGAATTTATCAAAATGAATAAACACAGTCACATAACCGACTTGCTACTGTTGCGACGCTCTTATGTAACACCTACCTTTGTAAACTAGAGATACTCGAACAGAGCTTCAACTCATTTATTTGAAACATCACGTCTTTCAATGAAGTTGATTACCAAATAATTCACGCATTTACACGTACATTGGGTGCACCATTCCAATATACTTCAAGCCCCCAATATGCCGAGTCTGACACTACGTCCACCTGAAAAAAACACCAATTACATAGTAAGTCATATTCATGTAGGGGTACAGGGATGGTGAGGGGTCACCCCATTCCTTTCAGCTGACACAGGAAACAGGGATGATCACCCCTTGCCTTCCATGCCTGTCGAAAGCTATTTTTTCTCAACAGCTTCTAGAGATAATGACTTCGATATCCATACTTTCATGACATCAGCTGGCGGCATGCTACAGTAGCATAAGCCTAAAAATAAAACTAAAGCAGTGAAAAGTATTTGCTGTAATATCATAATTTACGTTTTCTCTTCAAACACTTATTTACCAGTATTTATTATAGTATTTGTCAATATTGATATTAATATAATTAACTCGATTAATGAACTTGTTTATCACTATGACAAAACTGATAATCCAAACAGATACTAAAAAATTCTTACCATTACTCATTCTCTGGTTGGCGGCGATTTCTTTAAGGAGAAACAGGACTCTCTATGCAAGACCCGCCCTCACAATTACTGCCAGTGCCGCATTTGCAAACACACGTAAAATACTCGGTCCACGGCTCATTTCCACGTGCAGCAATGACGGTGAAATTGGCTTGATCAACGCCTGTTCTGCATACATCGGTGTAAAGAGCGTCCATTGACGTGGTCTCACGACATTTGCTCTTCGGATGAAGACAACTGCAAACGAGATGTTCCTCTGTGGATTCTGTGATGGTCTTCCATATAAGGACTGGCCGTTGGTCGTGCTGTAGATTGGTGATGTTGCAGAAGCTTTCTAGATCTGTGGCAGCCAATTTGTATCCCGGGGGAACAACGAACGGGAGTGCGTTATCTAGAAACACTGCTACTGTTATAACAACGGCAAAATTAAAAGCCGCACTGGTACGGAACATCTTGTTTTTGGCCTGTTATTTGTGACGACAAATGTCAGACAACTGCGCTTATGATATTTCACATGCTGCAGTATATTTTTATATACACGCGCGCAAACATTTTTCGATACGCAGTCAGTAATCAGACTCAGGAAATTGGAAATTGGCTATAATACCGCCTTTTTTACGCCACAAAATATAGTGCCTGCAACGTGCTAGTTAATATAGCATCTCAAAAACGTGAACATTGCAGAAAAAATATATATTTAAAAATGACTTTTCACCAAACAACCCATCAAACGAAAACGCCTAAATTTATCTTTTTGGGTACTTTTTCACCTGCAAATGAGTATGCAGAAACCCCTCTCATTATCAATGCAGCAATTGTAGGCGTAATAGACAATTGCCCAATTCCCAGTTTTGATGAAACCTATTACGAAACGGAAAGCACTGATAGAGTAATGAGCGACATTTATGGATTGATCATTATAAAATATGCTGGAAGGATTAAAGCAATTCTCAGATATGCTCCTCGGTCAAAATTAGGAAACAATCGCAGTTTGAAAATGCGTATTTATGTTTATGCTCATAAACGAATGCAAAAAGCCCTTTCTGGTTACAGCAAAAAGGAAATTTTAGCTAAAGATGGAGGGAGGGAACCCATGCACCAATAATACAATAATACGGTTTAAAAGCACGTACGGTATAGCCGCGCGGCGGCGATGAAGCAGGTCAGAGACGAGTCATAGAACCAGTAATGTTTCATTTTCAAAAGATAAAATGAAACCCATTAATTACATATTTTACAATGGATCCCATTTCATAAGGGAAATCGCCGAGGGGGGAATGAGCAGTAGAAGTTTCCTGATTTTTATAACATATGCTGGAAGCAATACGGAGCCAAAGCTATTTTCAAATATGCTGCGCACTCAAAATTATTGAAACAATAGGGGTTGACTATTGAAAATGCTTATGTAAAGAGGCATAGTAATCTTTCCGTCAGTTCTGAGCATCGACGTTATTTATTAGGCAGTCAAACACAGATTGAAAAATAAACATTTTCCTCGACATTTACACAAGATAGCCACAGCATATTTTCCCGTATATCTGTGCCGTTGCTGTATTTTTTCCATATTCAATTAATCAATAATGGTATCAATAATCATAATTATAATAATTATTATATTTTTCCTGGACTGCAAAACAAGCATAAAGCTGACATGTAATAATTAAATGGCAAATATTTAGCTCCAAATCGCTTTGTTATACTTGACTTATTTCAGGCTCGCATTGTCTTCAAATTTTGTCATCGAAAAAGTAAATATTCAAGGTCAAGACAGTCGGGCGTAAAAACTATATTCATCCATTTGAAAAAACAGTCACGAAACTAGGTAGGAAACTGGGTCAAGCAAGTGGGTCTTGGTTAATTAACGGTAACTTGGTCAGAGCCGACGCAGTGATGACAGGTGAAGATGTTTCTTGGATCCCACTTTTTCTTGATCTCTAACAGCCTAGAAATGATAAAAGACGAAAACAATTTGAAAAAGAAATATGACCCCCGGTCACATTGGTAGAGCGGTTTTGACAAATGTGATAACTTAATAGTGAAAGTATGTTGTTAATTTTCAATAAAGAAAATTATTATAGTTCAGTGCCATTTATGCACTTTATCAAGTGATGCATGCCCGAAAAATTGTGTTAACCTGAATTTTTCATTTATTTTGGCCTATGTCTTATTTATCATGGGTGAAAGTAGACTAAGGGACAATTCCCATAACCTATCGTACAAACAGGATCGGTCTATCTCCAAAGAGATTCTCGCTAAATTGCATTAAGTTTAAGCGTGCACGAAAGTTAATTTTCCCCGTAGCAGCTTCAGTGGGCGTGACAGACATTTAAGGCTCTTAGACTGAATGCTAATTGGAGAGAACCCCTTAGGAGTTAGATCGATCCGCTAATACGACAGGTTTATGTGAGCCCAGTCTAAAGCAGGTTTTAGAAATGACCAGTATTTACTTACCTGGGGTAGTTCGCTCCCCACTGAAGTTGCTTCCAGTCATCCAAAATGTCGGACGCCTCGTTCAGGTACACGCCTATAAAATATGATTAAAAAAAAGTTAATAAAAAGAAAAAATAAAATTGCCTGTAATGAGGGACACAATTACGAAAAATTTGAAACTGCGCACCTGTCCAACCATCATCTGCCACCGTTTTGAGAAATCTTTACCAGGAAATCCTCAGCCCTAAAGTCAGAGATATATCCGTTCTTTTCATATATATATATATATATATATATATATATATATATAGGTCAAAAGTCAAACACCCGCGCATGTGCATCAGCAGCGCCTCTTACATCATTTCAAACTGGCTGAACACTACAAACTATTTCTAACCCGCTTAGTAAATACAGAAAAATATGGACAAGAGAGCTGACGAGACAGAAACTTCGGACTTGTCACTCACCGGACCCAGCCTTCAGCAACCTCTGGTGGAAGGTCTGCAGCTCATCGATACGACTGTCTTCGATGTTGTTTTCATTCTCGAACCAGAAGGCGCCACACGACCACGTCATCAGACCTCGCCTGAAGCCGGGGACAACGGAGGAGGAGTTGTCGGCGTATTCTCTCATTTTACCTAAAAGACAGCCAACGTGTGCGCATAAGGTATCTACTGTCACACAGGAAGTGCTGAAGTCTTTCGTCCAATATCAGCTGGTGAGGACTGAGAGGACCTTTGGCGGAGGACTTGGTTCGAAAATGCCAAAAGTTTTTGTGATAAGCTAGCGACGATAGCCAAAATGGCATACCCGTGTGCGTCCATTCGGTTTTGCCATATTGTCATAGAGCTTTTTAGAATAACTGACTTGCATGTACAAGGTAGGGGTTAATTCACTATCGTGTGCTGATTAAGCCGATTACACTGATTGCACTTTAGAGAGAATCCGCCGCAGAGTTGGACCGACCCAGCTAGTGCGATGTGTTTATCTGAATGCGGTCTTTAAAGACCCCTTACATACATGTCAACTCTCCCGGATAATCCGGGTCTCTCCCGGATACAGAACGAATCTCCTGGTTTCCCGTTCGGGGAACCAAGTTCCCCTGCTAAAAGCGTCTTTAAAAATTGGCACCACTGTCAGCTTCATAATTCTCTTCTAATCTAATTGTTTGGGCCGGGATTGAGAGAGTGGAAGCCACCCAAACCCCTTCCCAAACACACTGAGCAAAAATTTTATAACCTCCAGATTTCAGATTTCCAGAGCTTGGTATCTTTGCACTTACCCCCCAATACCGCTCCCTCGCATTCCATAATCAGACCCATGCGTTCCACCTCCTTCAGACTTCTCACCATCATGTCAGCAAACTCCCTGTTCAGGTTACCGTCTGGCACTACAGTGCTGAACATGTAGGTCCTCCCCCTGTAGCCCGTGTACAGGTTGTCCTTCCGCATCTCCCAGAACGTGTTGAAATGAACCGGCTGGCAAAAGAAAAAACATATTGTGTATCCCAGAACGTGTTGAAATGGACCGGCTGGCAAAAGAAAAGGCATATTTTGTATCCCATAACGTGCTGAAATGAACCGACTGGCAAAAGAAAAGGCATATTTTGTATCCCAGAACGTGCTGAAATGAACCGACTGGCAAAAGAAAAGGCATATTTTTGTATCCCAGAACGTGCTGAAATGAAATGGACCGGCTGGCAAAAGAAAAGGCATATTTTGTATCCCAGAACGTGCTGAAATGGACCGACTGGCAAAAGAAAAGGCATATTTTTGTATCCCAGAACGTGCTGAAATGGACGGGCTGACAAAAGAAAAGGCATATTTTGTATCCCAGAACGTGCTGAAATGGACGGGCTGGCAAAAGAAAAACCATATTTTGCGCTTACGGATATTTACTGCATTGTTGTAACGTATATAAGAGTAATATGCCCCCATTTACCGGTATTCCCTTGAACTTAGCGTAACGTCTATATTATCCACATTAATTTTTTTATTATAACATTAGCAATATATAACGTAGTTAAAGCTTGGACGAAAAGTGTGATTAGTCCAAGGTTAGAAAAAAATATTGTTATGTGATAATCACTGTAAAAGAGTACGAAAATTAAAATACATGAACATATGTACACCACTGACTTAAGCTAAAGATGCCCAAGCCCTTACTCCCAACTCTACAATATTTTATTTCCTCATACCTTGTAATCGTGCAGCTTGAGGTCCGGTCTGTAGTTATACAAAGTGTTGAGAGTTGGAAGCGCCTCTGCCTCACCACCGAAGTACTCGATCACAATGTAAATCTGTCCCATGGTGGCGCTCACGTTCATGTACTCTGAGCCTCGGTATGGACTGTCAACCTAGAGAAAGAAATTGTCGCGGCCACATTTAAAGTATAATTTCAATTATCATTTACCCCCCCCCCCCCAAAGAAAAAATTAAAAAAAAATATATATATATATATATATATATGTGTGTGTGACACGTAGACTTTTAAGTAATATACAAACGGTATGTGAGCACCAACCGTTTATCTAGATCTCACAGAATTTCCCATGATAAAAAAAACTGAACGTCAATTGTGTAATCTAATTTTTGGTTTTCTATATCCAAACTTCAACCGGGTAATTGAAAACGTAAACTTTGGTTTGCTGTTCAATCGTTTTTGTCCCTCGCATGAATAGTGGTATACAAAATTATCACTACATGGTATAAACATCGCCCTTTGTGATCTAGGATTTTTTTTCATAAGGAGCACAATATTTTCTGGGCATATTGAAGACTCAAACCATTATATAGAGCTGGGGCATTCGGTACTTCAGTAAAGGAAGACGAAAGGACAAAAGTAGAAACATGTATAAGTATCGGCAATATCCACTGAAAAAAAATCCAATATGCCTTTCTCTTCTCCACTTTAAACGTACTCATTCTTATGTCATACATACAAGTAAGGAACATGTAAGCCCTACAGAATCATTGGGAGTTTTTCATTGGGACTTTTAAGCCGGTGTCAAGCAACACAGTGTCCTACCATTCTAGGGTCCGGCAGACCCGGTGTTTTAAAACTGAGAGTCCGGTGGACTCCCTGTCTCGAAATAACGGGTCCCGGACTCTATGTTCTGAAATGTAGGGTCCGGTTAAATGCAGGGTCCGGGGGACCCTGTATATTAAACATAATTACCATGATACAGAGTCCGAGACCCGTTATTTCAGAAACCAGGGGTCCTACTGAAATAACGGGTCCCGGACTTTCTGTCATGGGGACCTTCTGGTACATGACACCGGTGTTGACGAAACTGAGGGTCCGTATAACAGACAGTCCACCCCCAACCCTATTTAATTATACAGGTTAGGGTTAGCCTGACTAAAGTGATGATGACGACTCTCTATCATGGGGGGGGGACTCTCTCAACTCACATCAGGAGTGCGTAAATAGAATTATGCCTGATTTTGACCGAACTTACCAGAACGTAGCCGCATGCTTTCTGTGGAAGGCCCCTTATGTATGAGAACATGAAATCCAAAACTTCATTTGCTACCACATTGTTGCCTGCTTGGTCTGTTTGGAATGGGTAGAGTCCCCTGAAGTTGTTAAAGATTATATATTGATACTAAAATAATTTGATTGTTAAAAAGTTTTGGGTAGCTATCACATTTAGTATAAATACCGTCAATTTAATGAACTGTAGATTTATAAACACACCGTTGCAAAAACAACGCATTCCATTCAAATTTCAAATCTTTTTAAGTCAATGTACAATTAAATAGTTTAACTGCTTAATCATAATCACTACCTCAGAGTTGTAAATCCGCCGCTAGGGGGTTCAAATAGTCTGTACTTGACGCGAGTGACAATGGCAAAAGTGCCGCCTCCACCTCCACGAAGAGCCCAAAACAAATCCGGATCCTCTACCCGCGTGAATCCCATGTCGGAGTCCTCGATGACTATGTGAGTGGGGTACACGTGGACTATCTGCCCCTGTGCATTGACGATAGTGAATTCCAAAACGTTGTCGACTGCGAGGCCGAACATCTTGGACAGCAAGCTCTTACCGCCACCTAGCGTGAAGCCGGCAGGTGAAACGGTGCCAGAGTTGCCACCAACGATCAGTTTGTTATATCTGCCGGTGACCTTTGAGAAATAAACATTAATTAATTTTGTATTTGCCAATTATATATTTTTCATCAAAAAACTTGCAACTTTATTCAGTATATTCATTATACTACAGGCACCATCTGTTTCCTTTAAACGTCTGACACAAATTTATAAAAAAGATGAATAAAAAAAGACATTCGGAATTTCCCTTAAACTTCTTTTTTTGCATTGATGAATAGGGAACAATGGTTTCAGTGTAGGCGATATTAGACAAATTGTTTGCAACTTTGGTATCTTTACATTTACTTGTTATAACCAAAACAATTAACGGTTCTGTAAGAGAGGCAATTTCGTAGTATGCTTTGATTGACGAAACAGAAACCTTTCTTAGAAATCAAATTAAAATCCCATCCCCGTACCTAGATCTATCAGGATCGACCCATCTCCGAGGGCTTTTTTCGATAGATTGCTTTCAGCTTAAGCGGCTTAGATGTCTGGCACGCCTACTGAAGCCGCTAAACGATAGTTAATTACCCCCTAACAGCTTCAGTAGGCGTGCCAGACATCTAAGCCGCTTAAGCTGAAAGCAATCTAGCGAAAAACCCTCGGAGATGGATTTATCCTGATAGATCGATCTACGTGTTGGAATGGGGTCTTAAGAGACTTTCACGTATAATTTTGTTTTTACCTCCTCATACAACTTGGCCCAATTATTCCCCACGTCCGTTACGCACGACATCCCGGTGTCGCTACTGGCGTCGTTCAAGTCCACAAACAGGTACTTTAATCGCGATAGGTTGATCTGCAGGCTTCCGTCTGCCGTATTTCGGCCTATAAAGTCATGCCCGGATGTAATCACGGAGATGCGAATGTTAAATCGGCTGGCGAATATCACGCTTTTCTGGATGTCCTGGAGGGTTATGATGTAAATAATGAGACCTGTTGAACGAAAAGAAAACAGTGATAATCGTCACAGAAAAGAAAAATAGTAGGCCCTTGAAACAATAAAAATCACATACGTTATAATAATAATAAAACCTTAATTCTATGTCATAACAAAATATGAATAATTTGATTTCAGTCCATAGACGCATTCCTCAATGCATAAAAAGTAAAGAAAATGTATTTCACTTTTTTTCTTTCACTGCTGAGTCTTTTTTAAAATGTGTCATTTCATTCATGAATTTTCCAAGATAGTTGAACAACACATATAGCAATATTACGCTAGGTAGTTTTAGCTATCGACCCTTAATTATCCCAACCATTTATACTTTATTATGTCTAACACACTATTTTTCTTCTGTATTATACGCCAGCACTTTTCTTGGTTAGTGATCGAACCTCACTTCGCTTGCAATGGTACTTTGACGTTCCCTCTTTAAACAAAGTGTAAAACGAAGTGTAACACGCTTGAAGCTTACTTCTAAAAAATTCTTGGCCGATGGTTATGTTTTAAAAGGGGCCCAAAAACATTTGTTTCTAGCTGCTTTCAACAACAGATCTTCCTATGAACTTCAAAATATTGAATATCACAAATACGCTCTACAGGTTATATGTAAGATTATGAGGAAATACACGTTTTTAAAATAGAGAACGCCCTCAACTCTCACCAGTGAAATAAATGACAACTTATTCGACCATTGGACTCACCCGGGTTGGCAACCCATCTTTCAGGCTGTATGGTTCCTATTGTAGCGTTCCTGTAGAACGGTTCTCCGGGCAACACACACTCGCCATATATGGTTCGACAGAATGCTTCTATCTCTTCTACAGACGGCCAGCAACTCTGATCTGGCTGGCAGTACTCCGTGATCACTCTCTGGAAGAGTGCGCGTATAATATAATATAATATAATATAATATAATATAATATATACATGCACTTGTGTATTATGATTATAAAGAAGTAATCCGTTTCTGAAGCGTGTCTGTCTACCTAGGAGGCATGCCATTTTACCCTTCATTAGAAAAGCTTGATGACTGTATGACTGAATCGTCGTAATGCCTTATAGATCCCCAGTCCAAAAGACACCATTTTTCTACGTATACCGAACCAACTCTGGAGGACTAAATGAAACACTTCTAATTCCTTCCAACGTAGTCGTATAAATAGGAGTTTTTTTTTTTTTTTTACTTACTACCCAACACCAGGAGGAGGCGCGTCATTAAGTTAAGCTGATTGCAATCAGCCAGAGTCCCTGAAATGTTAGGTCTATCTACGTAGACCGAATGTGTATGGGAAAGCGGTCATAAAAACGCTTTCAGTCTTAGCAACAAGATAAAAACGTCCAACATGTTTAAAAGTTAACGCCGAACTTACCCCTCCCCTCTCCAACACATCAATTGGATCCGGTTTCAAATCCGAGGCCACACAATGGTGACAGCTGAACCAGTTGTAAGGGTCCCAGCGGCGTTTGATCTCTACCAGTCTGAAAGAAATGAAATGTTGAAATGTTTGTCAGTCATGTAAAAGTTCTTTTGTTAACAGCCTGAGAAATAGATTGATACTAAATTACCAGCCGATTTGTCGCCTGCAATTGTTTAGATTATGTGTGAGATAATACACTGTCACCCGCCCGATATATGCCATAACACCTCGAGCGTCAGCGAGAGGTGTTCATGGCATATATTGCGAGAGGGTTACAGGGTATTATTTGACNATGGTCTCTGATGGTCTCCCTGCTACCGTGTTATAAATTCAAGTGTTCTGTACAGTTGGTGCAATGTGTATTTGGAGAAAGTTTTACAGTTTGTACAGTTGGTCTTACTAAATTTTGATCTAAAGATCTTAATATTGATTTTAAAACAATGACATCTGTGTGGATTTGAAGTCTTTATTAACAGAAATCTGTATTCTGTAAATCAAAATACATATATTAAAATCTAGAGAAAATCATTATTCATATATGAACTACCAAGTCTAAGTGTTCATTTATTGCAGAAGTTCACCTTTTTAAACGTGCTAAATCTGACTTAGATGGGTTGAGAAAATTCACAAAATTAATACAAAATGACTTACAAAGTTACATATGATTATGAGATGTTTGGTGAAAGTGAAAATAAAGCTAGTGGTCAATTGTTTTTGTTGTGTTGCATAGTCTGTTACCAGCTAAATGGTCCACTTTGCTACAGTGCATAATGTGCACTGTAACTCGTTAAGACAGGAAAAGAGCAGATATGTCAAGTGCTAAAGTTTTGACACTATGAAATTTTATTCATTAACTCTCTCTTAGTTTTCGGTCTGTATTTACAGACCACTTTTACCTATTGAAAATAGACATATATTTGTCACAGGTAATTAAGATTGAAATACTGTCTGATTTTAAATCCACCAGAGGTATATGTAGGTTATGAGTAAAATATTTAGAAGCATATTCAGGCATACTGTCACTTGTAATTTTTTTTAAAACAGTGCTTAAGTTCAGCCACCTCAGATTATACCTTATGACTAGAATTAAGAAACACATCCATACATAATGTTACTCCTAGGTTTTTTTAATCAATAGTTCAGCCTTCTTAAATAATTACGACTAGAACTTAGAAACACACACAGACATAATGTTACTTGTAAACATTTCTGAACACTAGTTCCACAACGTCCTCATTGTGGAGAATAGTCAGTGTTCGAAAACTTTCAACAACAGAGTACTACTTGGTGCAGACCACACAGGTGAGCTCTCTACCACTGATGTAGTCGGGGCAGGGGAGAGAGCCACAGGCAGCCTCAACATTGTAAAGCAGGGCACCTTGCTTGTCATCCCCTCCTTTCTCGTCCACCTCAGGGGCACTGTCCACACATATGTACTCTGAGCGTTTGTGGGTATAGGCGGAAGACATGAGATACCCTGTATACTCTTTGGACCAGCTGTTGGGGCATTCCATGTGTGCCGGGATCATGATGTGGCTGGAGCGTGTGGGGACACGGCAGGCAGCACATACTACATCTTGGGGGGTTAGACTTGTTATGGAATTGGCATTTGTTTTGTGGAAAGGGTCATTTGCTGCTGTCCTGAACTCAACACCATAGAAATGACCACTTGACTGGAATCCATCTGTGTAGATGCCCCACTGTGGGTCTCTAGGCATACACAGTATGTTGCTTCCACCTCCTGTGTGGGTATAATGGGACCCACCAGCTATACCTAAAATATAGAAATCCATGGTAGTATGTATTTTATGTATTTAAAAAACCCTCTGACAGTTTTTTTTTTTTTTTTTTGGGGGGGGGGGGGGGGGTGTTGAACTTACACCTTAAGAAAAAAGGGGAGCACCTGGGGCACATAATTCCATGCCTCTACATTGTGTTTTCATAAATCTGCTCGTGAAATAATTTGGGTGAATTCAGCTTACCACTATATACCAGTTCTGCTTCCACAGGGCATGTTGTTCTGCCCCAACGGATATACATTGCTCCACCAGCTGGTCCTGAAGAGCAAAGACATTGTGAGAAATATAGAAAATGTCTGTATTTTATAGATTTTTTAACTCTAGAGTCTAAGAACATATGCAGATTGCTTGTGCTCTCCACAAATATCCTTAAGTTGTTGTATATGCTGAGTGAAGAATGATGATAAAATGAATTTCACCACTATTGAAAGTTTTCAATGATAAACTAGATCCCAAAAATAAGGATCCCAGATGACAAATGAAAATTAGTTTATGATAAATGTATGACACAAACATAAACAGCAAAATATAGCAATATAACTGTAATTCTGTCATCATGCTTCATTTACTAGTAAGTATTGCAGAAAAATTAATTTTCATATTTATCACAAATCAAGACTTAAAGAAAAATGAGATGATTAACTATAGAAATATAATATCTGGCAACAGTAAGCTGTAAAAGATAAAGAGTCCGAGATGTACACAGAATACCATCTGGACCTAAGGAACTGATTAACATGCTAGTCTCTCTGACTGGTTGGGATAAAGGTGTAAGCACTTTTCCAATATGCAATGCTTACATATAATTCTCTTACCATTGATTGAAACCTGCCTCTTTGCTCTGTGTAAAGTGCCATTCTCTGGTCTACTGTCAATTTTTCCATGCAGTAAATGGTTTATTTCCTTAATTTTTTCCTGTAAGATGAAAAATAAACTAAGACCTATTTGAACCAGTTCTAATAATTAGAGGTCATGCAACAAAATTAATGTAGCACATTATGCATGTAATGTATTAATTATACTGTTTTATGTTAATTAGAATGAAAAAAATCTACATGGCTTGTATAAAGACATTTCACAGTACCAATATAAATGATTCAATACACAAATGAAACATCTTTTGATGTGGCTTCAGTTGATGTAAAATACTAAAAAAGGATCATGCAATGAAATTTAAAGAATGGCATTATGATAAATACAAGTTTTAAACTTACCTTGAGTTTTTTATTCTCCTCTGTTAGTTTTTCCCCCTCGTCTTTGAGCTGTTTGGTCAGAGCATTCAGCTGTGCTAGCTGCTGCTTGTCTTGAATGATGTCTTTCTGCAGTTCATAGACCATCTTCATGAGCACCTGGTTATGCCCTGTTCCATGTGCTTTATTTTCAACATAAGGTAAAATACATACTGTCGCCAGTAGAGACAGTAAAACAGAGTCCAAGATTGTCATTTTCTTCTGCTCTGTACACCTTGCTTTCCTAAAGTTAATGTCCACAACCTATGACATGTAATTTCTAGATATGTATGTGTGTGTAATATAAAAGAAAAGTTACTTTTTTGTCACAAACAATATCTGCTGTTGTTAAGGACAGCACCAAGGTTTTCTCTTTGACTGCTTAGGTCCACAGGTGTGTCAGTCTGATAGCCTGCACAGGGGTGTTAACATAGTTTTAAAGGTGTGCTGACTCATTTACTTGATCCTGTTACTGTGGGTTTTACCTGGGATTTCCTGAGAAACAGGATATAGTTGTTTGCAGGGTCACTTTCATACCAGGAAGTGAATTGTGCACTCATCACTTGTTGTGGTGCTTAGCCTGGCAATTAATGATAAGGGCCTTGTGGTATTCTTCAGACACTCCTTTGTTGGGTGTTATTTTGAAGTGTGGGTAACTGTCTGTCTCACCACAGTAAAATATTTTAAGGTCTGTTATTTGGATTTATTGGCTTCCCACCCATCCAGAAAATGTCCTTAATCTTTTAATGATTTCCAACCTGGGCTGTGTTATGAATCTCTGAGTGTTTACATGTACGTATAATAATTACACCTAGTTAGGTCCTGGTATGACATGTGTAATCAAATTATTTTAAGTGATTTAATTTAAGCCCACTGGAGCAGAATTAAGATGAGATATAGGAATAGAAATTTAAGACAGAGAGTGAGAAAGAGAGAAAAAGAGAGAGGGAGGTGCACATGCACAAAAAA